ATAATATTCATGTATCTTGTAGTTTTAAAATTTTCTTAATGCGATACAGATATTAATATTTTTGTTTCCACTTAACTATTCTTACATGTTGTCTGAGGGTCACATTTCATAAACTAAGCTTTTTTAGTATTACTTATCATTATATTAAAATATCTCTTATCATTATAATTAATAAATTTACTATTACTACATACTTTAAAGTTGGTTTGTACCAAGTTTTTAAACTTACATATAAAATAGATATTTTAAAAAATTAATAAATAAGAGCTACATTTTGTAGTATTTATAAATATTTAAACTTACTATCTCACCTAAAATTCAATATATGCTGTCTAACCACATTGCTAAAATCTATTCTCAGTCTTCTATATCTTGTAGCATTAAATTAAAATTATTGAATATAACTATACCATTCTTATTCTCATTCATTTATTCACGAACTATTCTCAAAAGATTATTAATATCTTAAAGAATTGTCTTTTTTAAAATACTCGCATATATTATAAGGTATATTTCTTCTAGAACTGGTGTTAATAAATAGTAACATATATTTATTTGGGTTTATATTTTGAGTTAATTCAATTGCATATAATCTCTAAACTTAAATAAAATAGAAATTTATTAAAGAATTTACATAAAAATATCATTAATAAAATTATGACATACTTCTCTTAAAAAATCTAAGAGGTTTGCAAACCAAAAAATAGTTTGAGTATCACAGAAAATTATTATACTTTTTGTTTTTATATAATCTAGCTATATGGCCAAGAATTTTTTAAATTCTATAAAATTTACTAAAGAGAATCTATTTAATAATTTTTTATCTTTTGTAGCTTTAGGTTAAAATTCTTTAATGCAATCATTAATATCTTTATCTCTACTTGTTAATACTTAAATTGTTCTTTGAATATCTAGTCTTTTATAATAATTGTACTGTAATATATATAGTTAAATATTGAGTATAAATTCTTTTATGACTGAAGTATTAAACAAGAAAGTTTTTTATATTCGAAAATAGAAAATTCTTATTTTAGTTTTAGATTATTTTACGTATTTAATTTATTAACCTTTTGATTCTCATTAATTAATCGTAATTTGCTATCCAAAATTTTATTGCATACTACACTCTTTTTGATATTGAGAACCTGGATCAGGTTCTTTATCATTAGCATTTAAATTGTTGGAAAGTTTTCGTTTTTTAAATTTTTTATCACATGTTTGTGAAATATTTATTTCCTCATCATTTAATCTTTCTTTTTCTAGCCATTTTTCTTATAATTTTTGTTTTTCTTACTATATCTCTTGTTGTTTTTGCTAGGCCACTGTGTCAATTATTATATTATGTGAATATCTATCTTTTGTATTATGTTTAACTGTTTTCTCTACCTCCTATTTATAAATATCATAAATTCGTTCTTTACCAATATTGTAACAGGTGAAAAGTTTATAGAATCCTTCATTATGATTCTGGGTTGTATTTTGAAATAAGGAATGGGTTGTTATATCAGAATAGTTAAATACTTCTAAAAGTTTATATGTTAATTTCCATAATATATCTTTTTTTGGTTTTAAATTACGATCTGTAGATATAACTGATATATCACCAACAAAGTCAGTTAAGACCAAATCTGTTCGTTGCATCTCTGGCTATATAAAAGAGACTTTTTCTTTTACCTCATCTATAGTTCCTAAGTACTTTTCTATATTTTGTTTTACATATTTTATTCCTAAAGATTTAACAGCTTCATCAAATACTAAATAATGACCTGGTTTTATCATATTTATTGAACATACATAATCCAATAAAATTTGTAGTTCAGGATCATTTCCTACTTGAGCTAGATAATGAGTAACAGATTCTAAATAATTAAATCACTCTGCTACTGCAAAAAGAGGAGCAAAAGCTGCCAAGCTATAATATTGTATTCTATAATCTCCATATCTAATTCCAATTTTGTAACAAACCCAATATCTCGTCTATGTAAAAAAATGATACCAAACTTTTACAATCTCATTACTTTCAGTTTCAATATTTTCAATGCTTAAATTATTGTTTATTGTATAAGCCATAAAAGCATTACCTACAGCAACCCAAATTAACTCAGCCACTCTGCATATAGCTGCATAATCTACTACTTTTTCAAGCTTCTCAAGAAATGAGACCCTAATTCAGCTGCTAGCTAATAAATACCATAATCTGAAAAAATTGCTAATAAAGTATTTAACATACATTTACTCATATGCCAACCACCAAGTAATAATCAAATTTCTGGTTTTGTCTCACATAATGAAATTCATTTCGAAATATTGCCTGATCTGCTGATATGTCTAAAAAATTGTTTGTATTAACACCTACATCATCAAAGTACATATTTATTGCCTGATAGATATTTATATTATTACATGAATTGTCTTCTGGTGTTAATATTATAATATTTGGTTTTGGTAAATTACAACCTATAGGAATATCTTTTTGAAGTTGAGATTTTATTTTAGCAACATCACAATCTAGCCACTTGTTTTTAACAAATGAATAAAATACTTTTTCAAATTTTTGCATTCTATTATCAATAAATATTGATCTTCCAATTTGAAAGTTTAAAAGATCAGAATTATAAGATTTTATTATATCTGATATAGATTGTGAAAATCGATACTGTCATACTATTCATAACATTATATGAACTGTTTTTCATATTGTATCATAAAGATTATCATAACTAAATATACTTTCTTACAAATCAAAATTATCTACTATGCAAATATTCTATATATCTTCTCTTACCCATAATTTTTCAGTTATATTAACTTGCCCACGTTGTTGTTTTTCTAAATTTCTTTCATACTGACTAGTGTGTACTACTACACCAGCTGTATATAATATTGCATATAATGATATATGCAAATAAGGTTTTTGGCATAAAGAACTAAAAATGTGAGTAAACCAAAGATCTAATCCTAGAAATGTGAGTGATAACAACACAGAAATAAAAAATATTGCAATCTTTCTAGCATGTGTATCATTATAATCTTTTTTCAAAACTCCTCTTTTTTTCTGTTTCCTTAATATGACTAGAGATAGGATGGCTTATAGTGAGCCAGCTTAGCCATGGTTTTTAAACCAAGCCAATGAGTTATTGTGAGCTAGCTCAAGCCTAATCATTTGATGTAGCATACTATGCTATAATACTATATGTTACTGTATCTTATACTATTTATTAAAATTATATGTGGTCTATTTTTCTTAAAAATTATATTTTTAATATCT